GGACGTGGTGGGTACCTGCACTCTGGGTGAGCACTGCCACAGCCTGAGCCCCAGTCCCTGCCCCAACAAGCTGCCAGGACAGTGGGAGCCCGTGGGGAGCAGCAGCAGCCGGTGCCTGGGGCTGTCCTTGGGGCTGGGAGAACACGTGGAGGAGTGAGGCAGAGAACTGAGACCAGGGAATAAAGACGCTTCTAATCCAGTGACTTTGCCCAGGGCACTCTGAGAAAAGGTTTCTATTGAACCATTAATTACCAAAATCAATGTGTTCCTTGCTTCACAAAATAGTTATTTTGTCATTAGTTATAGCCAGCAATTTGTATGCATTTCCTTTTTAACGGCTTCTAACACAAGCTGCGGACCACACTTCATGCTGCTGCTTGCTGTCCTGTGCTAACAGCCAGAGCACATCCCAAGTGCTGGCACTGCCATTCCCCAGGGACACAAGTACCACATCCTAGGTAGTGGCTGGGGGTTTTCTGGCCAGGTCACCTGTCCTTGACAGCAGTCAGTAATAGGAGCTCCCAAGGAAGGACTGAGGATGTCTCAGGCTCAATGGGTTACTCCATCTGATTCCTACCACTAAGATTTACTGAAGTTCCAAAGCAGAAAGTGTTAACATTGCTTCCTAATCTCTGTAGTTAGTGGCAACTCTAGATGTGGTTAACATGCACATTAACATGCACAGAGGTGTCCACTCCCGCCAGACCCATCTCTGCTCAAAGACATCGAGCAGCAACAGGGTCCATTAACTCATCCTGCAGGGCTCAGGCAGTGTTTCTCCTTTGTGCTCTGTATTCATTGCTGTCCTGCTCCATGAGGATGGGAGACCGGAGCTCTCTGCCTTCTCTCTTTATCCCAATCTTCACTTTACTCCACGGTAAAACTTGACAGGGCTGGACCAGATCTGATGCTGTGTTTGCCAGCTCCCCATAGGAATACTAAAGGTCTGGGTTCACAGCAGGTTCTCCAGAGGCATCTCTTCCTGGCCAGGGGCATGTTTGGTCTCACTGGTACTTAGCACCTCGGCTGCAGCGTGAACCGGGCTGGCCACAGCCACTGCCTTAGTGGGTTCTGTAACACATCCTTGCATCTGGTCTCTCCCACCTGACAAGATGCTGCTCTGCAGGTAAGTGCCTGTGGGCTCTAAAACTAAAAGCTCAGAGCAAATGGGGTCTGGCTGGGCCCCTGCCCTTGTGCCCATGCTCTGGCTGTGCAATCAGAGGGTGTTACTGATGGCGTTCATGCTGCATTTGCTCCTGCTCCCCCTGACCAGCACCTTCCTGGCACTGGGAGCCCCCGGGTGCCCAGGGACCTGGTACTTACACAAGCCTTCATCTGTGTCATGACTTGTGTCTGTGATCTGTGGGGTTTTAGATGGCAGTGCTTTAAAAGAGATGAAATCACTCAGAGTTCAGAGGCAGTTCTCCTCCCTCCTCACTCCGGCTACTGCTCCAGCCCGTTGCAACACTGGCCAGGGCTGGGTGACAGCAAGGAGTGGGGTCCTGCTGCTTCCAGGCACAGCACCTTCACAGGCACTTCTGTAAACAAGGATTTTGGTCCCCTCTGCTCTAGGGTCAGGGCAAGACGATTGTCTTGCCTTTAATATTGTACTTACTGAGCTTTTCCTTTAAATTATGGTTTCAATAAACTATTGCAAAAAAAGCCCCAAACCTCGAAGCCCTTTCCCTGTGGAGGGGATGCTTCAGACAAGACACTGGAAGCAAGTTGTAGTGGCTGATGTTGAAGTATAAAACAAACACACCAGGGGTTTATAAAAGAAGCACGAACAAACTATTAATTACAATGGCCCCTTCGGATGATGTTATCACAACAAACAGGAGCCAAGAAATTGCAGAGCTAATAACATGAAAGTGTTGCCACATTTACAGACCCTGTTTAACTCCATGCACAATAAAGACAAATGGATAGAGACGTTGGCACTGAGGAGAGACAGCAGGGAAGGAGTGATCAAGGCAAACAGGAGGAAAAGCAAATTCAGCTCTTGCTGCAGAGTTTTAAGAATAACACTGGGAGCTGCAACGTGTCCTCGAGACACCCCTGGCCCTGCAGAGCACCACAGCTGCTGCAGCTCTGGGATGTGCATGCAGAAAAGCTTTTTCCCCAAGCTCTGCCCTGTTTCAGAGTTACTTTTAGGTGCTGCCCCTCCTGGGCAGGCACATGGGTGCCTTGCTGAGCTCCCACCAAGCACCGGTGGCTGCAGCCCATCAGCACCAGGAGCCACCACACCCCACACACATCCTATTGCACCCATCCTGCCACACTCCGTAGCTGTTGTCAAGTGCAGAGAAGAACGCACAGCACCGCTGGCTCCTGCTGCTGAGGGCAACAAAGGTGTTAAACGTGGAGCAGCTGAGCCCCTGGAAGGGCAGGAATACTCCTCAGAGCAGGTAACCTTCACAGAGCTGCTCCCACGTGCTCTGCCCTAATTACACACGTGCTGACAGAATGCCAACCAGCTCCACGCGCTCCGGCAGATGCAGCGCTCACATCGCTCTCCTCTGGTGGCTGCTGCAGAGCAGTTGCAGTGCTGGGACAAGGCTTTGCTCCTCCAGAGGACTTTGTAGCTTCTTAGACGCACTTTGGCTTTTCTTACAGTGTTTCTTTCCCTTCTGACACTGGGCTGGTTGATAAAGTGCCACGGCCATGCTGCTGACCCTGCCTGATGCACCTCTGCAGAGCAGTGCTGGAATGGGACACAACTGCTCATGGCTCTTCCACTGGTGTCTGCTTACATCCCACCCCCCGTCCATCACCTCCCACCTGAAAAAAGGGGACAATGGCAACAAGCCGCTGGAAAGAGCTCCACCAGCCTCAACAATTCCATCACCCTTTTGTGGGCACACGCCCCATTTCTTCATGTTATTGGTAGCAGCATCTCTGTGTTGTGCCATGTCAAAATGAAACTTTTATTGCCATTCCTGGGCTTGGATCCAGAACTACCTGGTCCTCCAAGCAGTGATCAAATATGTATTACTGGATGCTTGTGTGGGCTTTTGATATTTCACTCCTTTCCTGTTCATCGCCTGGTGCTGTGGGTTGGAGCAGAGCGGGAGCAGGCTGCCCTGTGTGCCCCAGCCCCTGCAGCAGCACGGGGACTCACTGCTTCTGCACACAAGAGCAGCCCCGTGGCGAGGGGAGGACACACGGCTCCCAGTCTCCTCCAGCTTGTGGCAAAGGCCAGCTCAGAACCCTCATTGGGAAAATGTGCTGTAGTAATTGTTCTTAACCGCTGGCTTCAGAAAAGCTCTTTATTTTCAAAGGATACGTTTTATAAATTTGTGAATTTGCATGTTGCCAAAATCCCCTTGTGGTTTATTTAAATCCAGATTATCTTGTTTATTCCTTCAGTCACAGCTGTCATTTATCTCTGTGTAGGCAGCCTGCTCACGGTGCTGCAGGTTTCCCGCAATCCCACTCAAAAGGAGCCTTTGTTAGCTGGATTTTCATCTTCTCCACAAGAGAAAAAAAGTTCTCTGCAACTCCCAGGGCCAGGAGGAGCGGAGGAGGACTCCGATTTGCACAGCTGCTGCCCGAAAGAGGCGATGCCCAAGCGCTGAGCCAGTGTCACTGCCCGTGGAGCTC